GAGATCACACCATGTCCCCTTCTGCTCCTAACTGTCCTGTAATCCCCACCTCACTCCGAGCCCAGGTCACTGCCCTCTAACGTCCTCCCGGCCACGTGGTCTGGCCGTACCCGTCTCTTCTCCATCACTCTCTGCTGCAGCCACACCGGCCTCCCTGCTCTTCCCAAAACCAGACACACTCCTGCCCCAGGGCCTTCCCACTGCAGCTTCCCTGCCTGGAAAGAACGTGCCCAGACGTCCCCGTGGGTAATTCCTCATGTCCTTCACGTCTTCACTCAAGGTCGCTTCCCAGTGAGGCCCGCTGGCCACCCCGATCAACACAGCCGTCTTCCCTGTCCCCACACCCCACACTCTGCATCCCCTTCCCCACTGCGTTCCTCCCGGAACCTTATCTCCTTCTGACAGAATCACCTTCCTCGTTTACTGTGCTTATAGGATCTAGTCTGTCTCTTCCCACTGGGACAGACGCTCCCCAAGGCCAGCCATGTTTCTGACTTTACTTCAGTGATGTTTCCCAGATGCAGAAACTGTCACACATCTGGCACACAGCCAGTGTCAGGGAATGATCAGTGATAGCTGATAGCACCTGCCTATTCTAGAGACAGTGTCTTTATTAATGTAGCCTCAGGTCACAGGCTGTTTTGTGGCAGCTACAGCACAAAGCCCCTCATGCTGGCATCAGTGCCAGCTCCACTTCTCTCACAGGTGCTGCTCTCTCCCCTCCCCCCTTCTTTCTCCCACACCTGCCCTCCTGCACACCACAGCACAGTTATATTTCCCTTCTCAGAAAACAGACAGCCTTGACTTATGGGTCCTATTTTCCAACCAAATATAAATCTCAAGTAGACTCAGCTTCATAACCCCCTGAGTTTGGACTGGAGCCAGCACTAGAGCTCAGGGCAGGGAGAGAGGGCGGGCGAGCAGAGCAGAATTCCAGCAGGAATTTATCTAAGATGAGAAATTACGGGATCCCTCCTCTGCTAATTCCAGAATCTGGTTCCTCTGATAGTTTGGGAAAAGATGGAAAGAACCATCAAGCCCTAGGAGGCAAGAGCTGGATGAGCCTGAAAATTCATCTCTCAATCCACAGACTCCTGTGTGCAGGGTCCCAATGGGCCCTGTGGGGACAAGGACAGGCAAAACACCTCCTGCTGCTGACAGAGAGGGGACAGGGGACACCCAGAGGAGAATGAGACGAGGACTAATAACAAGAACAAAAACAGTCATATTTCTCTATAGAAACAACAAATGAACACCTAAAAGATGGGGGCTGAGGGCCGGGCCAGGCCTGAACCTAGGCTGACCCAGCCACACGAAGCCCTCACTGACAAGACCAGACCTGGGTGATGTTCAAGTCCCTGTGATCACAGGTCCTGGTGGGACAAGGTTCTACCGAAGGGACAAGGACAAAAGGACAGAGCGGTGACTCAGCCGAGGAGTGACCACGTCACTGCCCACGAAGCACTGAGCACCGACTGGGTTCAGGCCACGTTCACGCTCAGTCCTCACAGCCTCTCCTGTCTCCACCAGCAGCAGACTCAATACTGCCAACAAACGGGTTCTGGAAGGTTCTCAGGTCTTCCGTTCATTTCCTCTCAAACTTTAGGATTTTCTCCTATAATTAACCCATCAACCCTTCATGGCAAGAACTGAAAAAACAAATTCATATCCAGATGCTTATTTCAATAGGAAGGAAGAAGTTGCTGCTCTGTGTAACATGAAGTAAAATCGGGGATGCAAACAGCCTCTGCTGGAACAGGACAGTGGGTCAGGGAAGAGACTCAGTGCAGGGAGGGGGCGAGGAGGGCAGGGGGCGGGCAGTCTCCCCTCTCCTCACATGATGCTGAGAGAAACGCAGACACATTCAGATGCCCTTTGCAGAAAGAGAGATCAGAGGTTCCTGAAGTCACAAAGTGGGGGCATGAACAAACCTTGCATCACTCAGTCCCCCACAAGGCAGCTGTCTCACACTGTAGAAGAAAATAATCATGAACAAATTCAGGTTAGTGGCTGTAAATGGTGAAATTCTCAACAGTCTACCACATGCACAAATTGTCCCAAAGAATTTCCAGTACACAGTCCTGTCCCCTCTGCCCCAACCCTTCCCCACTTCAGGCCCTCCAGGGTCTCACCTTTAGAAGCCGTGAGACACACAGCAGAGCCCTGAGCACTGTCACTGCCTGGGGGAAAACAAAACAGGATGTGGTCAGAGCTCACAGCAGATGTGGCTAAAGGAGGAATTATGGGGGTGGGTGGGCTCCCCCAAAGGCTTCCATCTACACTATCCCTTGGGTCTCAGAGGTCACCCACCCCTCCACACTCACCTGCAGCCTGAGCGTAGCTCCCTCCTTTTCCACCTGTGGGAAGAAACCATCACAGGAGAAACCAGGAAGGAGGCAGGGAACCCCCTAGTCCTGGACCCCAGAGAAGTTACCAGAACTGTGACTACAAAACCAGGCCTTGATCAGGAAACTTGAGGAAAGTACGTGTGTGGGGACTGGACCAACCGCCCTCCTGGAGGTCTGTCCTCAGCAGGGATGTCCCACTCTGACCTGACTATTGAGAATCAGGTCCCCATCACCAGAATCATCAAGGTGATAAATTTGCCTCTCATTTTCGCATGTGCATTAATAAAGAGTAAGTGTTAGCAAATAGGGCCCCAGACTGGGAAAGCACACGTGTGTGGATGGTCCTTCCCACTAATGAGGCAGGACATACTTGTACCTGGGGCTGGAAACGCCCCAGTGGGACAAGACAACTCAGTCCCCGCCCTTCCCTACCTCAGCGCTTCCTCCTCCACAGAACAGCTCCAGCCACCACAGCCCCAGTGACCGCAGCTCCAAGGGCCAGCACAGCAATGATGCCCACAGGGATGGCGGCCTGAGGAGGCGGCTCTGGAAGGGAAGGGAAGGTGAGGGCCCTGACCCCCAGGCCTCAGCCCTGACCTCAAGTCCTCCAGAGGCCCCTGCTTTCCCTGAGAAGAGGCTCTGTGCCCACGGACCCCTCTGTACCCCATCTCAGAGTCAGGGGCTCGGGCAGCCCCTTGTGCTGCACATGGCACGTGTATCTCTGCTCCTCTCCAGGAGGCACCGCCACAGCTGCCCACTTCTGGAAGGTCCCGTCCCCCGCAGGCCTGGTCTCCACGAGCTCCGTGTCCTGGGTTAGGTCTTCCCCATCACGCTGCCAGGTCAGGGTGATCTCCGCAGGGTAGAAGCCCAGCGCCCAGCACCTCAGGGTGACGTTACGGTCAGAGGTGGGCTGGTGAGTCACGTGTGTCTTTGGAGGGTCTGAGGAGAAGGGTCAGAAAATTCAGGGCCTTTGCATCCCTCGTGGGACCCTCCAGCAGTGCTCATGGGACCATCCTGAGAATGGTCAGGAAACTGGGGTGGGGGAAGGGAGCACAAAACCCAGACACCACACTGGACACAGGCATCCGGGATCATCTCTATTCTATAGAAAGTTCTAGAATCAGGGCGAGACAGCCCAGGGTCATAGACAGGTCTCTGATGGAGACAAAAGGGACTCCTGGTCCTGACCTGGGTGGAGGCCAAATGACTCAGAACAGCGGGGGTCGGACCTCAGTCACACTGTGTGTGGGGCAGCGAACAAGGCCCGAGAGAGAAAGTCCCCCAGGTTCCCAGGGCAGCTGCCAGGGCCAAAGGGAACCGCTGATCAGGTGTTTCTGAGATGGTCTCCCCTCCATCCCCCGAGAGGCTGCACCCCTAACTGTCCCTGAGAGAAGGGGGCCCTTTGGGTGACTCTCTGGTACCAGGTCTGAAAACCCAGGCGGACTCCATCCCCCATGTCGGGGAGACGGGGTGTCCTGGTGTTGACCCCATTTCCTCCTCTCCGTGTAGGAGCCCCGCGCCCCTCTTACCTGCGCGCAGCAGCGTCTCCTTCCCCTTCTCCAGGTATTTGCGGAGCGACTCCAGGCACCTGCCCTCAAAGTAGCCCCTCAGGCTCTCCGCCACATGGGCCACCTCCCACTTGCGCCGGGTGATCTGAGCCGCCGTGTCGGCCGCGGTCCAGGAGCGCATGTCCTCGTTCAGGGCGATGTACTCAGCGCCGTCGTAAGCATGCTGCCTGTAACCGCGGAGGAGGCGCCCGTCCGGCCCCACGTCGCAGCCACATATCGCCTGGATGGTGTGAGACCCTGACCCCGCCCCGCAGTGATGGCGCCGGAACCGAAAATGGAACCGGGTCCAAGTCCCCGCGGGCTCTTCCCAGGTGAAGGGCCGGGCGGGCGGGTCCCGCAGCCTCGGGGTGAA